AATGTTGGCGGTGGCAGCAACGCAAGATCTATAGAAGGCTGTGAAGTTAACAGACTTATTGGTGGTTTTCGTTGTGGTAAAGGCGGTGGTGTTGTTGATATTGTTGGTGGTGGAGAAGGAGATTTTGAGGGTGGACTATCAACATCTTTGAATTGATGGTCATCATCACTTTCTTCGTTGTCTTCTTCCTCGCCGCTATCGATAAGTTTCTCTTCGTCTAAATGTCCTGTTAGGCTTTCCTGGCTGTTGCCGAAATGTTGTGACATTAATTCAGTTTCTTCTCTCGGAGTTTTCTTTTCTTGAAGTCTTGACGAATTGTCGACGTGAGGGTTTCCTAATTCCTTACATTTAGGTAGTTCACGAAGCACTGGTATTTCCGCTACTATATATGAATTTGAATCACTAGTATTTTGTATATCCTCTTTTTTAACTTCACGGATTTTCTTAATGTCAGCTGAATTACCATTTTCCAAATTTTGTAATTCCACACTTTTAGGTTCTGGGGAATTTACAATTTCTTTCGACACATCAGATGAATTATCATCAGGATTTTGTAATTCCTCAGTTCTTGGTTCTCGACGGTGTAAAGATATTTTCGTAACTCTGGATGAATTGTCATCGTCAGGATTTTCTAATTCCTCGCTACTTCCACGCTCGTAATAATCTACATTTCGAGGAATTTCTAAATTTTTAGATTTTTGGTTTTCCAATTCTACTCTTGTAGAAATACATTCGTTTTCTACTTTTACGACATTAGTACTTTCGGTTTCTATTTTAATAACCGGAGTATTTTCGTTTTCAACTTTTTCAACATTAACAGTTTCCATTTGTATTTTAACAGCAGGAATATTTTCTTTTTCTACTGCAGCAGGAGTATTTTCGCATCCTGTTCCAATGATAGATGGATTTTCTTTCTCTATCCTAACAACAGGAGTATTTTTGAGTTCATCGTCAAAATCTTCAAAAGCGGTTAAGACTCCTCCATGTTTCTTTTGCATTTCAAACAAGTCAATGCTCTTAGTTTTATACAGATTATCTTCGTTATTTGTTTTTTGAATCTTCCAGGGTTCTTCGTTTTCATCTACACTGTTCAGATAAGCAGTTGATGGACCTTTAGGTATATCTTTTATCCAAGAGTCTTCAGAACTGGAGTCGATAGAATGCTTGCGAGAATGTCCTCTGGAATGAATTGAGTCCTTAGAATGCCTTCGTTGTGAAGGTGGTGTCATTTCCAAAAAGGTTGCTACCATGTCTTGATTTGGTATCCAATCGTCGGGTTTCGTATCTGGCGTAGATTCCTCTGCCGAATCCGGTGATAATTCAGTAATTATAGGTGAAACAGTTCGAGATATAGGACGTGTTACAGCTATAATTAAAGTAGATTCAAATATATCGGAATTGTCCTGATGTAGAAGTACTCTGGGTAACTCTTCATCAAAATCGTCTTCATCATCAGCTATCATGGGTTTCGTAGCCCAAACAGCTGTGGCAGCTGGCACGGCAATCAATTGAGATTCGGCAATAGATTTTGTGATAAATTTATGATTATCAACGTCATCATCGTCTTCCTCAGAACTATTACGAAAGTATGGTCGGGGAATAGGTGGGGGAGGCCTTGAAGGTTTGGAAATGGTCTTTTCTTGGACATCCTCCAATTCCTCCTCTTCAGATTGCGGCCTCTCTGTTCTGTTTTTAACTTCATTTTCTTGTTTTTTCTTAAAGTACTTTTTAGTTTCTGATAATTTTTTCATAGTTATCTGGGGAACTTGACTAGCAACAACTACACCTTTTTCTAATTGGAACTTGGCTCTTGACGCCAGACTTTCCTTATAGGTGTCTCCACCCTCTTCGTCATCGTCGGGATCATCAATACTGTCGCGTTTACGCGCTCTTATATGTTTTAGTCTCTTCATCAGGGATCCTACATTTCTCTCCTGTTTCTGAGGCGAAGTGGTTACATCCATATCGTCATTGTAAGTATTATGTGAATCGCCCTTTTTCCTAAAACTCTTTCTCCAATCTTGTAATTTGTTTGTAAATTTATGAATTGGGGACTCGTTATTTTCATTGTCTTCTGGATTCTTATCAACGTTGTCGATGGAACGGAATCGTTTAAGACGTTCTGTAAATTGTTGGCTTTTCGAAATTTTCTTATTATCCGAACTGGCATCTTCATTTTCCGATTCTGCTCCCGAATGTGTTGACATTTGTTGTGGTAGTCTAACAGATTTTTGGATTCGTTTGAAATTCTGTTTGATGGTATCAAATGGTTTATCAGATTTTGGCGCAGCAGCAGATGAGTCGGCGTCATTTTCCTGAGATGGCTGAGGACTTAATGGAGCTTTGCGTTTTTTCTCTGAAATTGCTGTATCATCACCTTCTGGTTTTTGTTTACTTAAACGGCTCATCCGTTCCTTAATACTTTTAAACTTTCGAGGGTTTTGTTGAGAATCAACTGATTCTTCGGTGGATTTTTGTATTTTAATATCATACAGAGAACTAGTATTGGGTTGCATTTTTTTAGGTGTGCTGACTTCAACTACATTTAAATCAATGTTGTCATCAGTACCATAATCGTCATTATCGTGATCATCGTCTTCGTCCTCATCATCGTCCAGATATTCTTCCATAGAGATGTTAAGAGGAGTTCTAGAAGGAGGAGGAGGGGGACGATCTCTAATAGCTTTCGTAGACTTGCGGCGCAAGCTTTGATGTGAATGATCTGACTTTTCTGGAGATTTTGAGTTATTGTTTTCGCGAAGAGATGCTGCTTTTGGAGCATCCACTTCTACCACATCCAATTCAATGTCGCCATCTTCATCGCCGTTGCCATAGTCATCTTCCAAAGACATATTTAGAGGAGTATGACGGACTTTAGAAAATCTTGTTGATGCAATGCCAGGTTTTCGGGGTGGTGGAGATGATTCCATGCCACTTTCATCACCACTTAGTTCGCTCAAATTTCTTGAATTTTTCTTGGGCCCAATAGTTTGCTGAGGTGAGCTTGGTCCACTATCATCATCATCATCCAAATAAGATTCTTCAGATTTTTGTTTTGATTCCTTAAATTGAAATGTGTAATTATCTGCTATGTCGTTATCTAATTTTTGTTGCACCCTTTCAGTTTTTCTGCGGTCCTCATCGAAGCTTGGAATATAGTCGGTGATTTCGATTCTATCTGTACGTACCACAGTTTTCTTAGCAAATAAATGTTTCAGTTTGAATTCCGTTACATCTTTGTAACCCTTTTGCAACTTTTCTCCAAATGACATTTTAATATTTTGCTCCGATTGTCCATGGGTTTGCTGTGAAAAATGCGGCTCTTTTATTGGGCTCATGGGACGTGATGAACGCATCTCAAAACGTTGACACAGCGGAGAAGGATAATCATCTATACCTCCTGCACTACGATAAGAATTTTCATCATCGTCATAATTATGTGATTTCCATTTCTTTGAGCCAACACTATCACCTCCTGTTTGGTTCATTAGTGAAGATATTGTAGAGATTCGAGTGGGTGTTCGATTAATAAATCCTAAAGGAGGTATATTTTCAGAATTAGCAGGCAACCGTTTTGAAGAGCGTCGTGAATCCGAGTTGACGTCTTCTCGCGAACTGCGGAAAATTTTACGAGACTTGAGTTTTGACATTGACTTTGGTAATTTCATTTGTGGCAAAGGTGGAATTTTAGCTGAAATAGCAAAATTTCAATTAAAATAATATTACTAGTTTGTCAATTAATTACTACTCGCAGTTGTACTTGAGTAATCAAGATTTATTTAAAGGGTTTCTTTTAACGTGACATTTAAATTAAAAACGAACATTTAATGTATATTGATTTTTATAAAATACATTTGTATGAGTTTCTGCAACACTAACCTCGTATTGAATCCACATCGACTTTTGAACATAAATTACGTAAATCCATATTTGTTATTTATTGAATCTTTTCGTTTCTTTGATTTTTATCATTTGATTTGAAAACTTTACTTCATTTTATTTTGTTTTGTTAAGGTTTTAATTAGCATTAAAATATTTAAAATTATTAATAACGCCAAAACTATACCGATTGTATTGCTACTACCGTTCTGCAACGAATCTAAGAACATTTTACGAGTCGTACGCAGAGCAAAACAGCACAGCAGTGTAGCGTTGGGCCCCTTCTATGTTTTTTGCAATTGTTCTCGTCTATTGTTAAAATGCATTTTTGGATTTCTGTTTTCGGTATCTAATACTAATTGAATTAACATGTTTGTTCTTTTTTATTTGGTCTTCTTTGTATTGCATTTTCCATTTGTTTTTTTTTTTTTTGCTTTCTAGAGCATTTTCTATCTGTAGTTTTTGATTTTTCACACAAATATGTGAAGAAAATTAAAAAGGTATGAAACGGACAGACAAGTCGTCAGAATTCAATTCAAATAATTACGTTACGCTATTTACTCGTTTTCAATTATATGAGTGTTGTGTGTATATATTGAGTATAGTCGTACAAAGAATTCATTTTTAGAAGGCGATTTATTTTTTCTGTGTAATGGAAGCGAAATAGAAGAGGTTAGAATCCCGTAGGTATGATCCTATGATTAATAATCCAAAATCATTTTTTAATTTAATTAAAAACTTTTTTTAAAATCCATTTATACCACGTCTCTGCTACATAATAGGAAAATGGAAAAAACATCAAAGTCTACACAAGTCTAAAGCAACAAATGCATTTCTCATAACACGAAATACGGCTACTTTGTCCATTTACACGTTTAAGACATCAAACACCCCACCTTCATATACTACGTTTCAGACCACATATAACCAAGTTATAGTAAATGCCATCAATCGGTTTCACCGATTGATGTACTACATAGTAAAGAAGTAAATAAGTAGTTTTACTTTTATGTTTAGTTTACTCGCTGAAATTTTTTCTTAGACATTTGTATTAATAAATTTATTTTCATTTCTCTTTCTTTTCAGAATCAACTTTTAACCAACGTATCGTTTATTTCCAGATTTTCAACAAAATATTTATGTTTATGTGTAAAAAGTTTTAAACGACATATAAAAAAATAAAAGTGAAAGTAAAAAAAAGAAAAATTCAATAGAAACGGCATTCCAATAACTTTTAATTCCCCCCTTATTTAAGGAAGGGGTTTCGTTTTAAAAACTCAACATTTAAGGAACGCAAGTTCTTCACACACAACCAACACACACAAATTCGACAAAATGGGGCGGCAGTCGTCTAGTACGCTGGCCGTCGTCCTGCTGGTTGCTGTTTTAGGCACCACAACTGCAATAAGTAAGTAGAAATTTTGATTTATTTATTTGTTTTGTTTTTGTTTTAATTTAAAAGTAAAAACTAAATATATAAAAATGCATGTCACGTCTCAGTCTGCTGCATAAAATCATTAGTAACCAAACCTTTTTTTTGCGTATTTTCAAACTGATATGTTTATTACACTCTATAAATTTGTCAGTATGAAACTGTATATTTTGAATATTTAGAATTGAAGAGTTTATATAAAGTAAGTCGATAAGTAGCTAAATAAACATATGGAAAATTTTATTTGCAAATTTTGGGAATATTGTGAAAATATGTAACAGGTTATTTAAATACTCATCCAATGAGATATGAAAAATCTTTAATATTGTGCATTTCTAAATAAGGTTTTAAATATTCTCAAAACGAAATATGTTCTTCTGACATTTTCAGTCACTTTTATTTCTTTCGATACTTACAATTCGTTTTTATCTATAGGTTTTTGGTTCGATTAACTAATACTAATCCAAAATTGAAGGCAACACACTATTTTATTCATTCCTCTTTCTCTTCCTTTCCAAAGAGTATACATTTTTGTGGGTAAAATATTTGTTTTTTTTTTTGCAATTTTTTCAATTTCCTTTGTGACATTGTTTGTTTCCCTTTTAGGTATAAAATATTTGATTGATATTTGTCCTTTGAATTGCAATATTTTAAGTTGCACAGTGTTTTGCTTTACTCAAATTTTGTTCACTTAAATATTGGATAACTTTTCCAAAAGTATTATTCGATTCCTCCAATAGAGAATTCAACCTTGTTTAAAGCTCGGGATTTACCAAAAAAAATCGACATTCAATCCAAAATCCAACAATCAAAATAAACATTTAAACATCAAAAATTTGATTTTTCGCCGAAAATTTAATTTTTCATTGAAAACTTGGCTTTTTATGCGAAATTGACTTTCAACATTAAGTATGACTTTCGATCGATAATTCGACCGTTTAGTCTTAAATCGTCTTTGCATCATGAAACATTGTTTCCCCAAAAAATTTAATTTTAAAAAAGTTTATTTCATTTTCGAAACACGATATTTTATTCTTAAAATTTTGCTTTTCAACATATCATGGACATTTTTTTTTATCGAAAATTCGACTTTTGATTCGAAATGCGTTTTTCATCAAAAGTCCATTTTTACATATTTTTAGCCAGAACTAGTTCTAGTTTGGCGTCGTTAAGAACAAAAATTTTTATTCGAAATTGTCACCTTCGGAACTGGTTCTGAGAAAGCGTTATGGGACCGACACACGTTCTTTGGAATGATTTTGGAACTAGTTCTTTAATCAATGATTTTTGTTCGAATTTGTCAACCTCGGAACTCGTTCTAGAGAAGCTTTAGAGAACATATGCTCTTTATTTAAAAACTTTTTCAGCGTTTTGTTCGAAATTAAGATTAAGAAGTTATCTCGGAACTAACTACGTTCCATTGAACTAGTCTAGGACCATTGTATAACTAGTGTTAAAGAACTAGTTTTTTTTAAAAACTCTTTATAAATATTTTAGAACCACAACAATTTTCCGAGGAACGGGTTCCAGAACTAATGGCAACATTACTAGTTCCAAGTTGTTTAACAATCTGAATTGGTTCTCTTTGCACTCGTTCTAGAGCTATTTTTTTAACAAATTCTAAAATTTATCCTGGGAATAAAATAATTTTACAAAACTTATTTAAGATTCAAAAAGCATTTTCTCAAATAAGTGAGAGAATGTTTAATTGTCACACGTGTTACTAATTTCTGTATTATTTCTATAAATACCCCAAACTCCAGATGTTTGAACAGATAATAAATTTTATTATAATATATTTTTCGATAAATGTTCACCTGTATTTATGAATGTTCCAGTTTGTTTAGAATCCATGTTTCCACACATTCTTAATAGAACAATAAAATACCAAGATTTCTTAAAATTTATTTTTTATGTTGCATTTCTATTGCCACAGATTTTTTTATGTTGAAATTTATATATTTTTTAAAAAAATATACTCATCAAGTTCCTCCTTCCTCTTAAAATATCACACTTAAAAAAATTGTATATTTAACCTACACATGTCAATAGTTTTCTAGATCTTCTAAAAATACACAACCACTTTTTTCCCTTTTGCTCCAATTAATAGAAAGAAGATCGCGACCATTTGATGCAAACTACATAAAAACACACATACATCCATATACTGAGTATTTATGTATGTAGGTTTGCTTTCGTTGTTGACTTGTGCAACATTATTTGAAATTGGATTTATGGCTGCGGCATCTGTTGCTGTTGCAGAGGCAGCAATACCCCTGCCAAACATCTTCAACATAATCATCGTCGTCGTCATCGACATCATCTATTCATCTTTGGCAATAGAGAATTTTCATTTTCTCCACTTTTGTGTGTGTGAGTCTATGTTATCTGTCTGTTTTTTATTTAATTTTTTTTTAGTTTCTCATTGAATTTCATAGATTGCGATGCACTTTAGAAAATTAGTCTATTGTGCATTGTATGAGTACCGTCGTCTACCTTGTTTTTTCTAATATTGATTAAATGAATGAAATGTACATAGATATATTTTCCCCCAGATACATTTATTTTTTTGGATACTAAGTCCTCTCGTGTTGAGTTGCTCCACGAATTTGTAGTCTATGTCTGCTTTTTTTTAAGTGTATTATATATGTACCATTCATGGAGAAATTTTGAATTAATTTTTCCATACATTTTTATTTACTTTAGGCTATAATTTTCTTCTCAGAATTGTTATGAAAAAAATTATCACAAATACTTAAATTGGTATCCATTGTTAACATTTTTTTTCATATACAATAACAATAAAATAAATAAATAAAAATAAAAATTTAAAAATATTGGTTAGGAGAAGAAGTTATGTGGTAATTTTTTTAAATAACTTGTATGTCACGAAATCATGTTAAATTTTTTATTTAATAAAAGTTGAAATTAAAAGAAAACTTTACTGATTATATTGTTTATGATTTATTTTTCAGTAAATTCACCGCCTCGCATTATCAAACAACCGCCCACAGATGAACTGCTATTTAAAGTTGCTCAACAAAATAAAGAAAGTGATAAACCCTTCATCATCGAATGCGAAGCAGAAGGACAACCTGATCCAACGTAAGTCGAAATTCATGTTTTTCTATTAATCAAATCCTACAATTTTATAGAATTATAATATTTCATTATATTGTACAGATCCATTAATGTCTTGAAAACTTATTTTTTTGCTTAAAAATTAGAACAAAACTCGTGATAATCTCTTACATTAATTTGGGAAATTGTGAAAATTTTGAAGAGAATTTTAAAAATAAATTTGTATGTGTTTCTGATGGCACTTTAAATTTTCATTGTAACAAAAAGAGATAAATCCAAAAAAAAAAATAAAATATAAAAAAACTTCAACAATCATAAATTTGTAATAAATCATCATATTTAATTTTTTAGTTCTTTAACAACTACACAGAGGGATGAAAATATACACGCCTGGTACCAAATTGATATCAAATTTTTCAATAACATTCGTGGTCAAGTATATACAAGAACATCTAATGTTGACCACGCAACGTTGTCAATATTGCAATAATTCGTTGTCGCAATCTAAATTTTATGCACATCCGTTGTCTAAAAGTTAACAAAGCTCACTATTAACAACGGATTTTGAGCTTACCACGTTTGTTAACTCTTAGACAACGGATGTGCATAAAATTTAGATCGTGACAACGAATTATTGCAATGTTGACAACGGTGCGTGGTCAACATTACATGTTGTTGTTGTATGTATGTTTATACTTGACAACAGATGTTATTGAAAAATTTGGTGTTAATTTGGTACCAGGCGTGTATATTTATTTTTCCCTCTGTGTATTTACTACATTATTCAGATTGCAACATTTTTGTGTTATTTAATTTGAATATTTTCTTGTTTGAGTCACGCACCATATTATTTTGGCTTTTCACAAAATTTGTTTTGTATTTTCCTTTTTTCCAAGAAAATTCCTAATAATGAGATCATTTTACCATGAAACATTTTCGCAAGACGTCATAAAATATTTTTATGAATTTTGTAGCAAATTACAAAAGTGTTTCATAATTTCTTTACACTTTTTTTATTTAATTTTAATGTTTAAATTTTAAAAACATTTAATTAAAACTTTTTTTTGCAACTAAATTAACTAGGTTTCCCCTCAAAGTTTTCTTTATTTATCTTTAAGTTATTTTCGTTTTTATTGTAATGTGATGTAAATCGACACATCAGCTGCACAACATTACATTAATTTATATATATACTTTTTGTTTGTTTGTCTGCTTTTCTTCGACTTTGTGATGCAACATTCTTTTTTTATGTCGTTTGCGGCGCGGATCTGTGTTCTGTCTGCTCAGTTGTGTCTCGATAGTGTGAATGTTGCAACATTTCCTTGGCTTAATGATGTTGAATTTAGTATCGCATTACGTATGTATACAACAACATCTCTAGGTTTCAAATTTTTCTCATACATATAAATGCACTGAGAGAAATATCGAACAAAAATAGTGCTCCTGCAGACATCTTAATGTATTCAAATCGACTTAGAGCAATAAGATGGGTTCGGCCGGAGTTGAGTTGTTTTAGATATGTGTAACACTTGACATTTATACAATAATTTCTTCCAGTGTATTTGAATTCCTGCAGCAAATTTTCTTCAACAAATTTACTTGCTGCAAGAAACAAGTGGTGGGTCTAAAACTGATTATTATTTTATTACATTTGTATGTGATTAAGTCAAAAGGAAACAGAAATGTCTGTTCGGCAAAAGTATAACAAGTGGCATTTCGATAGACAACATCTGACAGAGTAACGGACGGACAGACGAAAAGCACTAACTACAGACATAGTATGTATTAAAATGTAACACATACAATTCTCAAGTGCTTTAAATTTAAGTTATTATACTCTTGCCACAAACAATTCAACATAAACACACTGGCGTATAAAAGTAAAAAATTATGTGAGAATAAATTGTGGACTAAAGTAAACAATTATTTTTTTTTTTTTTTCAAATACTAAATTAACTAAACAGATATAAATAAATATATATATATAAATAAATAAATTTTCAAGTTTTTATATGTTTTTCCTTCTTCCAAAATGTATGTAGTTCTAATGGTTAAAAAAAACTCTTAATCAGATTAAAAACTTTTCATGATCATGATCATTTTTTGAATTTTATTTTTTATTAATAGAACTTAAAATCTTTCAAAATTCATAAACATGAAATTGAAAAAAAAAAAAAAAATTATAAACAAAAAAGATCTAGTTTCATTAAACTTGAAAGCAAGTGTTTTGAAATCATTATTTGAAAACGAGTTAAACTGGCTTTATATTAAAGTTATTTATATTTATTATTTACTTTACAAACAAGTAAAAAAATAGTTACGATATTTTATTTTTCTATAAAAGAAATAAATTTATAACATTTCAAATAGCTATGATCATATGTATATTTTGTTATGAATAAATTTGTTGTTAGTAAATTTAACTAGATACAAGTATCTTTCTGCAAATACAGAGAAAAATGAATGAATAAATAAAAAATAAATAAATTTAAATGACACAAAGTAAAAAAGCAAATAATAAACATAAAACGAAGGAATGGAAAGTAGAAACCAAAAGAAACGGTTAAGAATGAAGTCAGACTATTACGTAATGGAACTGAAAGACTAGAATGAGAATAAAACATATTATGATGCCATACTATATACATACATTTCCAGTTGTAAGATGACAAACAGACAAAAGAATTGCAAATTAGTAACAAACTTTTTTTTTGTCAGGCTTGCTTTGTAAAATTTTAAATTATGTATGAAATCATTTTTAATTATTTTAAAACATTATCAAATAATTTTACAAATTATAAGCAGATACGCTCTTATCATGAATACTTGTCTGTGACACTTGTTGGCTAAAGCCAAAGTATTTTTTAATCAGAAGTCTCATATGTTTTTCTTTCTAACAAGGATTTAACTCAAATTTTACATGAAAGTCATTTTTTTTCATACGTACAATGTAATATTTCTTCTACATTTTCCATCTTTACATAACGCTCTTCCTTTATCCGGTTTGCTGTTAAAAATTGACCATTTATAACAATGTCTTCTCGGTATTATTACTTCCGTTGATTTTATGTAGTTATTTTATGTTTTTTCTTTTACATTTTCCTTCTTTTTTGCGTGTTTATATATTTGGGTTTTGTAGTAATATTTTCCAATCAAAATCATTTGTATCAATTTCATTTTACATCAAAATACCATTATTCAATGTCAAATGCTAATGGACCATTATAAAAGTATTTGAAGATTATATGTCTCTAACACATAAAATTATTTTGTGTTTATTTTTCAATAAAGCTTTTTTTCGCTGTTACATACGTATGTATGTATAGTATATTGTTAACAACATATACCCTATGAATGATCGGGCGATATACATTTCTTTATTTACTTTTCAATATTTTGTATATAGAAAGAAAACGGGTTCAGGCTTCTGTATATAATAACCATATGTATCATAAACTGAAAAAGTACCTTTTGAATGAATGAATGAATGAATGAATAAATGAGAAGTGTGCTGGATTGAATGGTGATGAATGGAAGGTATATTATACAAGTGATACCATTGAATTCTCCTTCCTTGTCCAGGTATGTTCAGGGAATCTCTGTTCATACCAGATTTACCAAAGTGTGTTTTCTGTGAGTAAGAACAAAGTCTTCGGCTTATTTGATGGTTTCGTGACTTGTGACAACAGAGGCCATCCCATCTGTGGGGTTGTAAATGGATCTGGTGTGATGATCTCGGAAGTTAAGCAACGGGGCATCAATGGTCTGAGATTAGATAGCTCGAGTACTTGAGCAAAGTGCTTGTATGTGGACCTGCAGAACCATGTACAAAAATTGTCACCTGCGTAAGTGCATAAGTTACACAAAGGTGGGGTGGTGAGTTGTCAAAGAAGCTCACCCAAAAGATTAAAGCACTTCTACATTCATACACAAGCAAACAGACATAAAGATTCAGAATATAAGGATATAAGGATTCAGAATATAACTACTTTATAGGGTCGGAAAATTATATTGTAGAAATTACAAACAGAATGACAAACTTATATGAACCCTTCTCATAAAGGTGAAGGGTATACAAATGTTATATAGTGATACTATAAATTCGCCTATGCTGGCAATTAATTGCAAAATTTTCGCAGTCTTAAAAATCACGTTTATTTATGAGGAAAATTATGGCGTTTATTAAGCTCAATTTCCTGATTAATGCTTTTCTATTTCACGTTTTCTTTCGTATTTCTTGCTGTCTCGCTCATAAATTAACAAAGATGAATCTTTGGGCATAAAACAGAAACGGATGTGTTACATACAACAAACAAACTGTATTTACTAATAAATATTTTTTTTTTTAATTTATTAACATGAAAATATATTATGACTGGTTTTTTCTTAGTTAAATTAGTGTTAATTGTAATTGGTCTGTTTAGTTTTTATATATTTATAAACCATTACAATATAAAGTAGGCTGGTTTAATTTGTCTCATAAAAGTTGATTTTAATTGGAGTCTATGCAACATCTTAAAAAAATAGCAAAAGCATAAAATAAATTAATAGATGTATTAAACTTAATTGTTGGAATTAAAAGAAAAATAACCCAGCATAAAATTTAATATACAATAAAAAGAAAATTTCATCTAATATATTTTCTATATTTCAAACAGATTTGATTTGTTTGGGAGCAATATCATGCATTTTCAAGCATCTAACTGAAAAAAGGAGTAGTATGAACAAAAAGAAATCATAGGTTGTTTACCGCAAAAGAAACCCCAATCCCCCACTTTACTTTATGGATTAGATTAAACAAAAGCAAAAAAAATCTTCATGACAATTGCGGTTGCATAGGATTTTGTTTCACAATATAAAACAGATTGTAGTAAAATAGGGAAAAAAAACTTATATTTGTTTTTTCCTATCCTTGTCCTCGTCTATGGAGTATAAAATTGCGGCAGTGTATTGTAGTGCATTGCTCCTGGGAGTCTCGATTTACAAAATATACTCTGCCACAAATAGAAACATTCTACTTTTTA